TTTTCGCTGTCATTTTCATAAATGGGACACTTCCTGATATCTGAGGTAGGAAACAGCCTTATATGGTGTTTTTGGGGTGGTAATTATGCTAATCTCCTCTCGCGTGCACGAGCAGCTGGATGCGAACAGGTGGAATTTACACAGCTCATTTACACACTTTTCCTGAAGATAGAAGAATTTGTTGAATCTGACGTGACATGTTCGTACAAACCCTTCGTACAAACAAAAGTAAGAGAAATTTAGGATAAGAATACGAACATGTTTTTGCTTGAGGCCCAATGTTCTCTTTGAAAACTTCACCATACTCACTCTATTTTTGTCTTCTACTACTTTAAACTTTTAGCTTAATGCTTTGCTACTTTTAGCCTTTAGCTACATTTAGCTAGGTTTTTGTTTTTAGCTGGCACCATGCTACTTTTAGCTAGTGTTTGCCTGCTTCAAGGTTTCAGTTAGAGTGTTTTTTTAGCTTCTTTGCGATTAGGCTTTTTTTTTAATTTTGTATTGCAAGTCCTATTTTTGTTTTCCAAATACCTTGTTTACCCGGTTACAACATTGCCCCCATTTAAATGTTCAACAAATCTGTGAGATCAAAGTGTGTGCAAAATAAGCTAAAACTTCAAGCTTATGTTATGAACGAAGGTCCACATAACTGCTTGTCTCTCTACAGCAAGCTCTAAGCTTCTTTAGACAAGGTCCACCTGGTGATGTGATAATCCTCCCTTGTTTGGGCAAGTGATACAAACCAAGTCAACTTGTCACTGCTGTTCTTAACAGAAGAAAAAGTGGAGCTGAGGGCAGCTGCAGGTCGGCTCACACAGCCTGACCTCTTTGAAAGCCTGCCACAGGGGGCTTGCACCCTTCACAGGAACAACACATGGCACATTCAGAAAAGATTTAAGTCACACCCTCTCTGGGCATTATTTAACCTTTCCTGGGGGGAATAATCTAGGATTTAGTCATTCCAGTGAGTCGCCACACAGGCAAGAATGACATTTTCTCAGCAGAATTGGTCAGGACTCYTTTCACCGCTGAGAACGTTGTGCACAATGTGGTATATTCTTACCCTTTCTGCAGGGCCAGCCGTACGAAGCCTTTACGGTTCTTCAAAGTGACAGAATTCATGCCGGGGGCACAGTGTAGGGACTCTGCTGCTCCTCCGACAACAATGACCACAGCATTTCCTGTTCCGTTACACGACAGCAGGTAGTCAATGGAGTTCCTGTTCACTGGGCAGATACCTATAAGAGTTTAGAGGGTTAAAAAACATGCAGTTTCTCTAGTTTTAAATGCAATACAAACTTGTCAAATTTAATGTAATTATTCTGTTTTGTAGGTTTCCTGCTTTAAACCTTATATTTGTTTAAGTACAAAGACAAATAGAGAATGCAAGAAGGTTTCTCTCCATCAAAACATTTGCAACAGGAACATTTCTGACATTTTGAAGGTGGCAAATGCATCGACTCCGATCTGATGTCCTGTGATTGTTACAATATGCTCCAACATGTCATGCATAAGGTTGGCATAAGTTACAGCAACTCTTTCAGGGATAAAGATGTTCTCATCCTTGATAGAGAGAAATGTTGGTTTGAGAAGAGTAAGAGAAGATATTTTTGTTTTTTTTGTTGTCCCCCTCTTACAATGCTGTTAATCCAAGTATGACAGCCCTCTGTGAACAACAGGTGATAATTAGGGCATTACTGATCGTTAGGCCGATGGTCCTCTTTTGCATTTGATCAAACAGTTTTGATTGTCATCGTTAACTTGTTAGTCCACCATGTGGAGGCACTGCTGATGAGTTTACCTGTAATTTCTAAAGCTGAAGAAATCTCTTGGAGAAGAGACATTAGGCCTCATGCAAGAACCGTTCGTACGCACAGATTTGTTCTTAAGTTGTGCATACGAGTGATTTAGGAGAATTTGTGGCATTCACCAATGTTTTCGTATTCTAAGATTTTTTTCAGGTACGAACAAAATTCACGTGTGGTCCAGACCTGTCGTACATTTTACGAGCAGTCAGTCTGCTGTTATCCAGACGGGTTTTCCTCACTAATTATTTTATATTTTGTTAGTTTGAAGATATTTTGAGTTGAAAATAAATCACACTCCATAATTATGTTGACAATAGGCTATTCTGCTTGAATTAGAGTTATAATTTTAAATGTAATAATTTAGACTAAAAATATAAATTGTCRGTCCGGCCGGCTTATCCGGGATCGGGTCGCGGGGGCAGCAGCAGAAAGACCCAGACTTCCCTCTCCCCAGCGACACTTTCCAGCTCGTCCTGGGGGACTCCGAGACGTTCCCAGGCCAGAGGGGATACATAATCCCTCCAGCGAGTCCTGGYTTTTCTCCAAAGTGCCAGACWTATTTTGAAAACATTTTAAAATCCTTATTTCAGAACCGCAACTGACACCACTTGCGACCACGTGGGGGTACGGTGTGCGACGGTGTGTCTTCTGAATAAATGAAAATGATTTAACACAGTTGTTTATACTATTAGCAGCTCTTTTTATTCCACAGCTGACCTGCTAAAATGACACATTTTATTTTCTGGATCTCTGAGAGCAGGACTTCAATCTCTGAACTCGTAAAGTTCTTCTTTTTAATTTTTGCTGTCATTTTTCATGAATGGACACTTCTTTGTATCTGAGGCAGGAAACACAGCCTTATATGGTGTTTTTGGGGTGGTAATTYTGTTAATCTCCTCTCTCGTGCACAAGCAGCTGGATACGAACAGGTAGAATTTACGCAGTTCATTTACACACTTTTCCTGAAGATAGAGTTTGTTGAATCTGACGCGGCATGTTCGTACGAACCCTCCGTACGAACAAAAGTAAGAGAAATTTAAGATAAGAATACGAACATGTTCTTGCATGAGGCCCAATGTTTTTTTCAGGAACAAACTTAAAAAAAGGACTACCTTCACAGATACAAAGCTTCTGTGCAAAGTTAGTTTAACTTATTCTTAAAAGGTTATTATCCAGGTTATTATCCAGGCAAACTATGCAAACATAATCAACAGAATCGATACCAAAACATCTATTTAATTGTCATATTTTATAAATGAATGCATTGATCTACAGCAATGTCACAGTAAGGTTTGAAGTACCCCTGTCCTTTCACTCCTCTGTCCTTTGCCCAAGGTGGCTGCAGTTCCCTGTCCAAACACTAGTGGCACTAATAAGCCAAAAAGGAAAGTCCAGCATCAAGCTCAGAGAAGTCTTCTTCTCTTCTTAAGATTTAAACAATCCTGCAGAAAAAGTCTTTAAACGACAAACAGTGACTGGACTTCCTCACATGTGTTTGAGCTAAGTGATGCTTTTTTTCTCTTCCTCAGCATGCACCAGTGTTGGACAAAATTTGCAGATGTCCCATAAGTTGTCTAAAACAAAATGTGATGGGGTGTGGACACAGGTAGACAAAATCATGGAATAAAACAAACTCCAAAAAAAAGTTACTGAGCAAAAACAAACCATGTTGAACTGAAAGTGGCTGAAGTGTCAGGTCCTAATACATACAAACCTTTATTTTTATGTAGGAAACAGATAAAAAAAAGTTTCTAATTTTGAAAAAAAATCTGAGCTTAGAGCTCCAAATAGGTCTAGATGTTCACATTCAGTTCTGCAAAACTTTTAACGTCTGTGTGGAAATTTATTTCAAATTTGCAAATTGTGTATCTCTGTTGTGCTGTCAGAGGAGAGTATCTATAAAATATCTCAGGGCAAAGTCTGAGGAGTAAACAACTCTTAGAACTTAATGCTCTATAATCACACTGATCAGCAGATCCAAGCAAAAAGAAACAACTCAAGCTGTAAAACAGGACATCGATCTGCTCTCAAATAAATTAATCAACCTACATAAAAAAAACTCCTGCAAGATTTCCTAAATCCACTCACCTCCAGACATTAGGTAGTCTCGAACGACGGGCAAACGAAAGTTTCCTGCCAGCGTTGCCAGAAAAGGCTTGATGCCGGGGAATTTCTTGGAGAAGCCAGTCGCCTCCGTCCCAAAGTTGCAGAAAGCACCAAAGCAGAAGATGCCATGGGGGTGGTAGCCCAGTATGTAGTTCCGGTTGGGCAGCAGGTCATGAGTTTTAATGAGCTGCAAGACAAAGACGATGAGAGAGAAATTGTATTATGAGAAGGATGTTTAGGATGTCTGGGCTAGTAAATAATATCACTCAGGAGCCTGAAAACTGAAGCTGTAGCTTTAAACAAGGTAGCAATGAAGATAACTCATGTCTAATCCACTTTTTGCTCAACTACCTGTGCTTTGTTGAACTTTGTGTGTTACATACACACTGTATGTAACATTACCATGTACTAACAAGATTACACAATATACAGAATGTGTGGCCTTCCACAGTGTTGTATAAAGTACCTTAAAGTGATACTTTGGTCAAAGTTAAAGTCTCCTCTAAGAATATTACTTGAGTAAAAAGTCTTAAAGTATCTAATATATTTTGTACTTAAGTATCAAAAGTAAATTTCTGACATTAAATATACTTAAGTATTAAAAGTAAAAGTATTGAGTAAGAATGAGTGGCCAGATTTTCCAAAATGACATTTATTAGGAGGTGACATGTTCAAAAAACGTTTTTCTAAAAGGCCAAAATGACTATAATGTCATATAAAAATGTTGATGTTAAAAAAGTTAGGATAGCTTTTTTTTTTTTTTTTTTTTTTTTTTGGTGGTTGGGCAGGCTTTACATTGAGTTTGAGCTCGAAACTGCCAGTCCAATCTGGCAGCCCTGTTCTCATCCAACCACAATTAAATTCACTTTATCCTGGAGTCACAGTTTATCAGGATAATATTTTTTAACAAATAGCTGTAATGATATAGGAGTAACGACTTTCTACTTCTTACCTTTTTAAAACATGTAATGAGTAGAAAGTACATATATTTGTGTAAAAATGTAAGGAGTAGAAGTAAAAAGTAGGCTGAAAAATCATTACTCAAGTAAAGATAACCAAAATTTCTACTTAAGTACAGTAACAAAGTATTTGTACTTAGTTACTTTACAACTCTGGCCTTCCACTGTTTTTTAAAAGTGTGACTTTGACAACTTGCCAGTGTTAAAAAAATAGGACAGCCTTATCAGCTGAAACCAGAATAAACTCTCCTCAGCCAGCTCAGGTCCAGTCATAAAATTATAAGCTGGTGTAATGTCTGTGGTGTGGGCCTGTTCATGCTGGCAGCAAACAATTTGCATTAATCTACGCAAAAGATCTGGGCCAAGACTTATCACACTGTGTACACAAAGCCAGTCAAACCAAGCCGTTGCGTAATCACATCAGCTAGAAGGCAATCCCGTCCAAAATTACCACAGCAACGTGGCTCTCCTCGGTCGGTGTGGCAGATGTGAGGCATTAAAGAGACGACGCAGGGATGTTTCTGTTTTCCCACATGAAATAACTAATAGAACATATTGGAGGGCTGATAGGATTTAAGTAGCATTAATGCAAAAATGTTTTGGTTTCTTGGATTAAATCAAACTAACAATTACTGTAAAGGCCTAGCATTCCTTAAAGAAATGCATATATGTCACCTTTTATGCCAGAACTTTAGAATAAGACAATTACTTTATGAGAAATGTTGGAGTTGCAGCTGTTTTGGTCCAAACTTTAAAATAAGATTATGTGAGATCTCATGTGATACTGAGAAACATGGCTTGATCTATTACCAGTTGTGTTGTGAAGGAGTGTCAGCTCCAATCACATCAAAGCTCAACATCTATAAAACTGATTTAATTATAGCCATAAAATCAGATTATTCTGAGCTCAGAGACAGAAAAGGGATCAAAAATCAAGTGTAGATTTATAGCAAGTAACTAACATTTGAGCTGAAAAAATGCCCACAGCCAAAGGAGAAGTGATAAAAATGAAGAAACTCAAAAAAAATTTTGAGTCAACCCAATTCAAGCTGGCCGCCACAGATAAATTACCTTAACAAAAAAAGCCTTTAACTAGTTAAATTTTACAGATATTGAGCTATGCTTTGGGCCGTTCCAAATACATACTTTAGAAATCTGATTTGAAGTGATCACTTAGCATTTAAACAGTTTTCTGTTTATTTACTGGAGTCGACTGTGTATCTGTTATTAAAATATTGCATAATTGGATTTTTTTAAATTAAACTTGCAGAAAATAATGATTATACCCGAGTTACTTTTGCAAACCTTGGAAACCATAAACCTGGCCTTGGTGTGATATTTTTACCTAAAAGCATTAAGTGGTACAGTCAGTCCTGTCTGTTAGCAAAATATCTCACGAACCACTGTAAAGATTTTAGTCAAACTTTCAGAAAGTTATCAGTGGATGAGCATTTTCAACTCAATAAAAGTTTGAGTCAATCTAATAAAAAATGGCTGTCACAGCTAACTGAACTCAGCAAATAGTTTTAGTTTATAGCAGAGAGTAATTCCCAATGCATACATTGAGCACCATCTTATCTCACAGATGAGATTGCAGACATTTACAAGATTTGACCAAAATGACAATTGGTCTAAAACAGGCATAAACAGCAGCAGATGATGTGCATTCCTCCTTTATTTTGACAGAAAGCAATAGCAATGATAGCAATGTGCATGTCCTACAGAAATGCAGATATTTTTAAAACAGGACAACGATAACAGAAGCTGCTGAGTTCAACTATGTGACCTCATCGCTCAGCATAACGAGTGGTTACATGGTCCAAATCAATATGGTCACCAAAGTTCAGCTGGCATTTTAAACACCCTCAGCCAAAGATCTGGCCTTTTTGGTTCATCATTGCTGCACCAAACAAAACAGACAACAGGACAACAGAGCTGCTTCATGGAAGAAGAACCTCAGCTTAGCCTGTTAGCCTTTGCGCTAGCACTGACACTATATTGCCTTATATGTATTAGCTCGGTGCTAGCGGGACAAACAAGCTAAAATGAGGTCCTCCATCCATATTTTCAGTTCCAGGCTGAGTCATTTCTACCTTCTCTCTGTCAACGCTCCCTGGTTTCATTTAAAAGAGTCGATCATCAGATATTGTCCAAGATTAACCTTCAGGGTGGATTTAGCTTGCTAGCAGCCTCGCACCAATAACCTAGTTGACATCATCATTTACCCAGAATGCTTTGCATGTAAATAAAATGGCCCCGTCCGTGCAATATATTTTTAAACTTCTAGTTTAAAAATTATAAAAACTGAACATCCTACAGTATTTTTACTGTCTTTATTTTACAGTTAAAATATATGCTGATAGATTGATAAAGTCTAATGTTACAACTAATCGGGGATCCCTTTAATCTTTTCTTTGCCATCAGTGTGTGCAGTGACTCAAGTTTGGACTTTGAGTAATGAAGGATACTTGGATTTGTGTTTTATTTTCACAGTACAGAAAAGTATTTGTGACATAAGTATATTTTGRTTTTACCAGACAAACATGAGAGCCTGTTAAGAACCAAAGATTCAGAAAACTCTTGTGACGACTCACTGAAGTAAACAGACTGTGCTCCAGGTTTGACAGGTTTTGCGTGCTCATGTTCAGCTACTGTACCTCCCTCTACATGCCCTCCTGTGTGCTTGAGTGTGTGTTTGTGTGTACTGCTTGGTGATAACAGTTCCTCAGACTGAACAACAGATAACTGACAACTATCAAACAGAGCAAACTCCAGCCCAACGTCAGCCCCTCATTAACCTGGGACAGGGACAACGTGGAGCAGACAGCTGATACTCCATCAGCCCAGATAAGACTTATCTACAGGACAACATAAAAGCTGCACAGCTGCTCAGATCCTACAGTACCAACACTGTCAACTTATACTTTTGCATTTCTGCTCTACTCTTGATTTTTTTAAAGAATTGTATTATCACCATTACATTATTCTGCAATGGTTCAGAGAGATTACGACATGCTTACCTACCCTGATAGGGAAATAATCTCTGAAATATGTCCACACCGTCCAGTTTCTAACCCAAGACGACCTCCTGCCACCTGAGAAGGACAGTTAACCATTAGAAATAAATCAAATAAAAAAAGACAATTAAAAATATAACCTGAATTTTGTAAGGGTTTGGGTCAATGTACAAATGTCAATTAAAAAATGGGTCACATTGACTTGCAAATCATATAAAAGGATCAAATGTTTAAATCCATGATAGCTGTCAAAATATGTGATTGTTTTCTTTGCATGAAAAAGCTTCGACCATTGGATTGGTTTACTTATTTTAATACGGGTTGCTGCCATAAATTCTAAATTCCCCCTTTTAAAAATTCTAAAAAATGTACAATTTCTTAATTTAAAATATTAGATGATAATGTTGCAAAATGCTGAAGCTTAGGTTTTGTGACCAGAGTCCTACGGAGCCCGCGAGGGGACATGGGAGATTTTTTTCTTTTGCATTCCCACGCAATAGTATTGCGTTACCTCGCAATACTTTTGCGTTACGTTGCAATACCTTTTGTATTCCCTCCAAAAGTAGTTTTAACACTGTTGTGCCTGCCGGTTCATTAGCAAACTCACATGTTCACCATTAGCGAGTTAGCCTACTGCTTTAATTCAGCTTCAGAATGAATATACAGTATCACACAGCCACGCACGGGTATGTCATATGCCGATATTTTAACATAGTGCAGCCACGCAACATCAATGTCAATTTCACAAACTTGTGGCGACACATCCTGTTTTGGTAACCAGATATTTCAATATAAAAGTCTGGTTTAATCTAGTTCATATACAAAACAATCTTTTGCGAGGGAACGCAAAAGTATTGCGAGGGAATGCAAAAGGACCCCCCCGTGTCCCCTCGTGGTCTCCGTAGAGTCCTTCATTTATTCAGATTATTTTATCACACAGGATACATTTGAAATAAATAAATAAATAAATAAATATGCTTAGGTAGATAAAATTAAGTTTCAGAGCCTTATCACAGTGAACAAAATAAGAGGGGAAAATATGAATCACAATGTAAATTTCAAACCAATGCAGCTAATTCCAGTTGCATAAAATTACTGTTACAGAGTCTGAGACGTGGCTGAAGGTTTTCCTCATCTTTTTTTTAAGCATCAGTGAGAATTTCAGAGTACCAGGTGTAATCTCAAAGCAACCTGGCAGAGGAGGAAGGGATTAAAGTATACACAATGTGCTGTGGAGCTAAACACAAAGGGACTGAAAAACAAACCAAAGTAAAGTTCTCTCAGGTCATCTCACTCATTTTTCTTTCTGAACTCATTGTTCTCTCAAAATATTGGACTGATTTCCTCAGAGTTACACTGGTTCAATCAGGAGCCGATAACAGCTTCTTGCAGGTCCTTCTCAGATAAACTTCACCATTACAGACAAATAGGTGACTGACTGTCACATGTCAATGTTTAGGCACCTGTAGTGATTTTATCAGGGAGACATGACAAGTTCAAAAGACGCTTCACTTCCAGTTTTGAATAAATCTTTGAGCCTGAAGTTTTAATTTATTTTAAGTGATAAATAAAAGTTATTCTAAAGGTTGTTTACATACAGGCTTATTTAAGTCAATCAGTTATTCTTATATAGTAAATAAAATAAAAATTAATAACGGCCACAAACAAAATCTGTTGTATAGTGTTCATCAGCTGCCCTGATTTCTAAAGATCAGAACCGACAGTAGAAACTCTTGTATAGTTGACTTCTATGGTTTATCAAGACCCCAAAGTGTTTTTCACATACAGACATTCACACACTGATGATGGTAAGCTACATTGTAGCCACAGCTGCCCTGGGCCACCCTGAGGTGAGGCTGCCATGCACCGGCGCCTCTCTGACCACCATCAGTACGCAAGTGGGTGAAGTGTCTTGCCCAAGGACATGACAACTGAGACACCTAGAAGGGGGAATTGAATTGGCAACCTACCGGTTACAGGACGACTCCCCTAACCACTCCGCCACACCCAACCTCTACAATAATGGCTGTGCTTCAGTGTTCATTCAATTCTTCAATTTCTCCAGGTACGTGGCATGAAACAGCATTTAGGACAGAACACAATCCAAGCTAATCCTTACAGAATATCCTACAAAATGTTGAAGTAAAAGTTATACTGGAACACTAACGTCCCTGTATTCCAGTCCAATCCAGTTTATTTATTAATTAACTCCTCCAAAGGAACAAAGTGATGTACAATGAAATACAGCAAAAACACTGAACAATAAAAGATAAAAAAAAATAAAAACAGGAAAACTGATAAAAGCCCAAGTTAAGGTGTGTATGGATGTAAAAAGCTTAGAAAAATAGGAAGGGGCAATAGTTTAACGGTTTAAAAACAAATATAATCATTTTTAAATGGACTCTAAAACGGATTGGTAAGCAATGCAGGGATTTTAAAACTGGTGTAATGATCAAATTTCCTTGTGCCTTGTATCCACTCATACACCATCATTTAGGATAGCTACATGCAGCAAACTTCAAGAAAAATCTTTTCAACTTTAAATGATGATAAAAGCAGTCTGTCACTGATGTTGAAGCAGCTATCGAACCAGTGGTTAGTTTATTCCCATCTCACCTTGTTTTGGGGTGTTCCAGTCAAAAATGAGCCAGGCGGTGTAGAGAGCTGCGATCAGCCAGCAGTCAGTGCAAAACATGTAAACCAGCAGCACAGTGCAGGCGATACCTGGAGAAGGAAACCACATGGAGTTGTACAGAAATCTATTCAAACGTTAACTGTTAATTAGAGAAGTCCCTAATGTGTTTGCAGCTTAAAGATTTGAACTTTCTACACTGAAATAAAAAGCTAGCAGTCCTCAAGGAAGTGCAGATCACCTGCCATCCTTCAAGCCTGATCTGATTAACATCATCTTGTGTTGAGAAATGATGGAATTGTAGCAGTTCTAGTCAAATCTTAAAAATAACATTGTGAATGACTCTCAGCTACCACCACACCAAACCTTAGCTCAGTATTTTCCAGTTTAACTGAAGCCATTTTGTGTTGGCTGACATTTATCAGCAGTGGCACATCTTGAATTCCACTGACTTTGAAAGTTAATTAGTTTTAGATGCACATCCAGTGATAATTATCGGAGAYTTTCTATCAAATTTGTCCAGTGGTTCACGAGATATTTAGGTAACAGAAAAATAGCGTTAGATACAATAGGTAATGCTAACGTTTTACCATCTTGCACAATGAGCAGCACTTGCATTATGTGTTGTCAGCTACAACCATAGGAGATTTTAGCTCTAGATTTCTAACACTAGTTGAAATATAAGGTCTAATGTCAGCTAAATGTTGGGTTGGTCGAAGTTTATCATTTGTTGGTGTACATCCAATGATTAATTTGACAGTTTGATTTAAATTAGTTCATGAGATATTTTAAACGCGTCTACCTGGGCATTCAAAAGCATTACTGATCAACTTTTACCTTTAGGCAGCAGATAKTAACCCCAGACACACTCACCCATAGCTAAGAAGGAGATGACCCACTGCAGCACAGAAATGACCTGCAGATGTTTTTCCATCCTGGACCTGCAGGGCCAGAGTGCTGCTGGCAGGTCCTGCAAGGCAGAGAGGATGCTGGAGCCGGTGCCTGAGCAAAAAATAAAATAAGAATAAAAATAAGAAATAAATGAATCAGCTAAACCTCAATAACCAAAACACAAAAACCAGAACAAAAAAACATTTTTGTTAATATTGTTGTTAAATTCAACTGAACTGATATGTGATGTAAATCTTGAGTAATTAAATCAACCCTGAACAAAACTAAAAGTTAATGATTTCCAAGAACTCTGTGACTGATGTTTGCATGAATAAACAGAACCACCAACCCACAGCTGCACTGCCTCAGATCCTCACTGAAAGAAGCAGCGCAGCTTCAGGAGGTTAGACCACAGGAAGAAGGTGCGTGGAGGATCTGCCACATAAGGAGCTGCTAAAGATCATCAAGCTGAGAGCCACTAAGCAGAGCGGCTCCCCCCTGGAAAAACGCCGTCGTCTAATCCCATTTAGGCTCACTGAAAATAACCTAGTTCCAGGATTCTCGTAGTAATACCTGTAAACTGGGATGTTCCTTTAGACTTTCTGAATGGGCAGCAGAATTCAGCTGCTACAGACTAGTTCTGAGAAGATCAGTGCAGACTTTGTGTCTGAGAAACCAGACATCTGCCGCAGGAAGTCATTAGGTGTCAATTAAAAGATGCTTTCCTGGAAATATGAAGGTGGTGCAGACAGAGGTGATAAGTGTTGAAGTAAATTTACTTGAGTACTGTGCTCAAAAAAGTTTGAGAATGTGTATTTTACTTGATTGTTTTACTTTTTTAATTTTACTACACTAGATTTTAAAAATAAAATTCAAAATTTTTACTCCACTACGTTTATCTAAGGCTTTAGATACTAGCTACTTTTGTAGTCTTGTTTGTGTAGTTTTTGTCTATGTGTTATACAAACGCACTGTAAAATTACACACTACACCCTTATACAGTAGGTGGTAATATGCATCTTTAATGGTATACTAGGTTTAGGTATATAGATAAACTAGGTATGGGTATACTAGGTATGGGTACACTAGGTATGGTTAAACTGTGTGTAGGTATACTGGGTGTGGGTATATGTACACTAGGTGTGGGTACACTAGGTGTGGGTACACGATGGGTACACTAGGTATGGGTACACTAGGTATGGGTACACTAGGTATAGGTACACGATGGGTCACGATGGGTACACTAGGTATGGGTACACGATGGGTACACTAGGTATGGGTACACTATGGGTACACTAGGTATAGGTACACTATGGGTACAGGTACACTATGGGTACACTAGGTATAGGTACACTATGGGTATACTAGGTATATGTACACTATGGGTATAGGTACACTATGGGTATACTGGGTATAGGTACACTATGGGTATACTGGGTATAGGTACACTATGGGTATACTAAGTATAGGTACACTATGGGTATACTAAGTATAGGTACACTAGGTACTGTATAGATATACCCAGGTTAGACCATTTTAGACAAATTTTTGTTTGATTAATGGATTTCCACCAAATAAACTTTATTCAATTGTTTTGTACAAAAGTGTTTCTATTTTATTGTAACAAATTAGTTCAAATATTACAAATGACAACTAAAAAGCTCTGATTAGATTTAGAGCTCGTTAATACTCAGCTCTATCAAAACTGCTCCAAGTCTTTTCTTTGAATGTGTGAATATGTTAAATAAGATTGACAGTTCTTGTAAAAGGGCTATACATTGGGATGAAATAGATTTGTGCAGGGGCGAGGCATTCACCTTCCAACCTGAGAGTCGTTGATTCAAAACCTTGCCTGCACACTGTCCTTGTGTCTCTGGATAAAACACTTAACCACACTTCCCCATGTCTACAGTATATCTGGTGGGACTCTGATGGTCTGGAGGGACCATAGGAGCAGAATGGCAGCCACACTTCCACCACTGACTGTGACTGAGGAGTGAATAAATAATTCATGAACTTGTAAAAAGTCCTTGAGCAAAAGTGTTATATAAGACTAATGCATTACTTTTATTGGATATTTGGAGTTATCGATATGTCGAATATAACAGAAAAATTATTCTTTACTACATTCAGGTGAAGTGCACATTGTTAAAAAAAACTTCTAAATTTTAAGTACTTTCAGTACTTTTACTTACTTACTTTAACTTTAACTTCAGTAAAAATTCGACAGAGTAATATTTGACCAGTAGGATCGGTACTTTGACTGGTTGCAAGTGTGAACTGTCCAAGAAGTTTGGAGTGTTTTAATGCAGGAAGTGATAAAAGTCCTCTCCCTGTGTATAAATACTGTTTACTTTCATCAAACAGAAAAACACTGCAAACCGGTCCAAATGATTTCCAACATGTCCATGAACTCTATGCTGCAGTGTTAACCTGTCTGTGTAAACTGAAGCTTTTAACACAAATTATATTCTAAATGCTTGCACTCTGTCCCATCTTTTCAGTACCTAAATCAGCTGAAAGTGGCTCAAGTTTTCACTAAAATCTGTTTAAATTTCACTGATCAGTTTTACAGCTGAAGTCAGAGTTTATCGCCCTGTTTTCCGTTCTGTTTATGCAACTTTCTGAAAGCCCAGTGGAGGGCTCACATCCTTTAACATGTTTAATTATGTGAAAAAAGAAATAGGAGTTTTGCACATCTAACAAACATTAAATATTTTAGTACATTAAAAGTTGCTTAGAAACATGCAGCTAGTTTTTGTTCTAAAACTATACAAAAAATACAAGATTGCCTCAAATAAAGGACTTAACAACTTTAGGGCAAACGTTTTGTTTTCTTTTTTTTCCCCACCCAGTTTTAGCAAAAAAAAAAAAACTAGTTTTTAATTTTTCTCATGTGAATTTTCCCTCTTTTTTCATATAAAAAATGTTTTCAAAAACATAAGACCCAGTCTGGTCTGAGCTTTTCTCATTTAACAAATAAAAATTACATTTTTACATCACAGCATAGACTGAAATATATATAAAACAAGCAAAAGCATTATCAAGCGAATAATTTGTAACAGTAAAATGGTTTAAATGACCCTTTAAGAATTTAGACACCTGGTGTAAGCTGTCTGGGGGGATCCCCACCTTGTTTTTAATTTCTTTTTACTTGTGCAACAAATGTTTTTATTCCTATGAGTTCATTACTTCATTACAGCCCTTTTACTTGGTGAACTGTCTGAGCTCCTCTGCCCGCTCTCAGGTCTGTCACATCATGTAAAAACAATTAAAGCTCTTACCTCTGAGGACCCCAGAATATGCAGCTAAAATGGTCTTCATGGCTGAGGCTTGGAGGGCGCCGCCGGAAAGATTTCAAAACAAAAACCTCTCAGAAGTCGGAGCTCGGAGCTACAGGTCCTCGGCCATGCCTGCACCCYGCAGAAGGGAACTGAAGAGCGACCAGCTCACAGACCCCCGGGGGGTGGATGGAGCTCAGCTGCAGAGGAGGGGGGAGACACGCTGATGAAGCGAAACGAGGAAACTATCTCCCTGTCTGCACGCGCCGCGCGCTGCTGTCTGTATTTATGAGCGCGGTCACGTGGGTCTGCCCAGCTGCGCGTGGAAACCATCCCTCCTCTACATGAGTTGGAGGATGTGCAGTGTTGTATAAAGTACCTCAAACTGATACTTGAGTAAAAGTACAAGTATCTTATCATAAAAATACTTTGGTAAAAGTTAAAGTCTTCTCTAAAAATATTACTTGAGTAAAAGTACAAGTATCTTATCATAAAAATACTTTGGTAAAAGTTAAAGTCTTCTCTAAAAATATTACTTGAGTAAAAGTCTTAAAGTATCTTATATTTTTGTACTTAAGTATCAAAAGTAAA